CCAACATATCCAACTTAGCACCCAGCACCTTGAAGAGTGTAGACCAAACTCCCCAATGAAGCGCGGGTCTCTATCAGAGACAATTGACACCGGAAGTCCATGTTGTCGAAAGGCACGATCGGCAAAACAGCGTCGCTGTACCCACACGGTCGATGGTGTCCGGCACTGCCGCGATTTGAGCCATCTTGCTCAAACGGTTCACAAAGACCACCACATCCGTTTTGCCTGTCGAGTCCTTCGGCAGGCAAAACACAAAGTCCATACCCAAGGAGTGCCATCACCTAGAGGGTACCTGTAAACTGTCCAGCTGCGCCGCCGCATTCGGGGAGGGTTTATTCCTCTGATAAGTCTCACACGTGCTCACATATGCGCTCGTCTTTTTGTACAGCTTGGGCCACCAGTAGTGGTAACTCACCGAGCTGTACGTCTCTCACAACCGATTTGAACACTGAGTGGGGTGGCGTGGGTCTCATAGAGGATACGGTATTTTAAATACTCATCATCAGGAACCACAATTCGTGGCGTATCCGTTGAATCGGTGCTATAATACAGCAAACTGTTATTCAACGAGTATTGGTGTCACCGTGCGCGCAAATGCGCCGACAATTTTCTGTCCGAGTTACCAAACTCCTTGCTGCCAAGAGCCTGTAGCAGCGCTACACACATTCTACCACCCGCGTACGCGGCGCAGATCAAATCCGTCACTGACGACGTCACCGTCGTGATAAAAGCAGGCTCATAGTCTAGTCTGCATGACAACGCATCAGCCAAATCATTCTTGGCTGATACTTCACATTGAAGTTATATCCTGCAAAGAATGAGAGCCACCTGCCCATCCTCTGCGAGAGGTAAGGCGACGGATTCGCAGTGCGGAATGACGCATGATCTGTTTAAATCACAAACGGCTTTGAGCCAAGCAGGTGCACCCTGAACTTGACAAGTGCATACTTCATCGCAAGTCATTGATTGTCGTGGACTGGATAGTTCCTCTCCGCATCCCTTAGCTGGTGAGATTCAGCCGCGATCAACCAATTTCGCTCCTCGTCGTCTACTTACAGCAGATGGCACAGTCCGAAGATTCACAGATGACACTAAAAGGACGATCGGGGTCTGGCAACGCCAGTATTGGAACATGAAGAAGGCTGTCTTTGACCCTAACAAAAGCTATCGATGCTCGGTGTCCCAACTCCATTCTGTATCCTTTTCTGGGAATTCGACAATGGCTGTATCGTTTCCGCATAATCTGCCCTATACTCGTGCAAGTAGCTGGTGAGGCAAAGCCACTTGCGCAAGTCTTTTTGGTTCTCTCGAACCGGCCAGTCCACAATGACCTTGACCTTAGCGGGATCTGCTCGAAGATCGCGCTTCCCAACGAAGCACTCTAAAAATGGGATTTCTTCCGCGCCGAAGATGCACTTATCTGCATTATCATACAGCTTATTCGTGCATATGCACTCGAGCACCGCTCTCAAATGGACGATGTCGTTTTTCACATCTGTCCTCTCAAGCCCCGCACGACTGAGGACGAAGGTGTCGTCGAAGTATGTCTGTGCATACGCTTGATGGAGCCTGAACAGCTGCGTCACAAGACGATTAAATGTTGCTGGTGCATTTGACAGCCCTTTAGTCATCATCAGCCACTCCCAGAGTATCTTGCTCGAAGAACTCACCGTTGCCAGCGGAATATCCCTCGCTCTCATGAGCAATTGGTAATAACCATCGAACAAGTCGAGTGCGCAGTACTTTGTAAAGCCAACCATATTGTTCTGGAAAACATCCTTTCTAGGAATCGGCGACTGTGCTGGAATGGTGACAACGTTGAGCTTATTGTAAGTTTGAGCGATACGCCACTTGTCGTTCGGCTTCCGGACACAAAACGTGGGTATCGAATGAGGAGACTTACTCCCATGCACACCATTCCTGCCTCGTGGTTTGCGCGGAGATTGCGTTAATGACGTCACACTGCTCCTTTGGCAGGGACATTGGCGTGTTTGCAGTATTTGGTTCCCGAAACCACTTCAATATCATTAAGCACACCTCGGTCCGAGGGTAGGACCGACAGCGGGTCTTTGGAGACGGCGCCTTGAGATTCCTTAACCAAAGAATAGTACGGATTGGAGAGATGCTTCAAAATCGACGATCCACGTCGTGCGTTTAGCAATCTCTTAGTGTCCTCCAGGACAGCTTCATCCAGAAGCGACAACGAGTAAATCTCCTCGTTCGGTCATATAATGACCACCTCGGCTCGTCCAGCTCAAGTAAAACAACCACTGCGGAATTAGGTTCGAGTGTGACGTCACCGTCTTCCTCTCCCTACATACCTGTTGACAAGGGTATATAGCTGTGCGCTATCGACTACGGTAGACACACTCTAAGTCAGGGTCGATCCCCTGCGCCTTGCAGATAACATACGGCTTCGCCCTCTTCTATATATAGCGTTTTGCATCTCGGTGATACCATTAAGAACACGCACTCAGTGTCGTCCAGTGTCCCAACTCCCTGCTACATCAGAGCCTTGAAGTTATTAACAACATCTAACGAAGAGCTGCTATTTCCGCAGTTTTCGTCCAGTGGATAACGTGCCACTCCACGCGCATCAGAAGGGCCTGGCCCAGGATACCTCAGACGACCATGACACTCTTGGCATGCAGCAACTGCTTCGTAGCTTGAGCAGTGCTCAGTGGGTGACGCGCCACTCCACGTGTATCGCTGGGGTCTCCCCCTCGATGACTCGGCCCTTGGCCAGCCATGCCACCCTTGGCATGCAGCAACTGCTTTGTTACATGTTCAGGGTTTAGTGGGTTACGTGTCACTCCAAATTCAGCCCGCAAGCCATGCTCGGGACTTTTGTCCAATACACCTTCTGTGTTTGACAACGCTGATACTCCGATATCCAGCAACATTGACCGTCCCGGTCCAGTGCCCGCGCCAAAAGCGATTTTGCTTCCTAGCAGAGGTGGGTTCATGACTCACCAAAGCTTTCCAGGAGACATGCGCGTGTAGCGCCCAAGGTCTTTGACCTTCGATCAATCCATGGCTCATGGTTGTAACAACATGAGCCATGCCAAGGATATGGTCATACGTTGCATCCTAGTTTAAGATTAAGCAGCGTTTCACGCTATCGAAGTCAAGAATCTTGAAACCGAGGTCCACAAAGACATTCGGCACAGTGACACGTGCCCCGTCTCAAAGCAAACAATGACGACGTCACACACTCGCGCTTCCAGCGCCTCAGTGTACAGCTGACTTCCATCTATTGTGGAGCGTCGAGCGCAATTGCCCGAGGACCCGGATCGATCAGGATCTTCCATGGCTTCTCAAAGCCCTTCACGGTCGCTTCCACGAGCAGCAAAACCGACTTGCTTACACATTCCGTGTTCAAGAGCCCGGAGCTCTTCGGGGCTGGGCACTGCTGACCTCTGCCTCCTTGAGGCTCAACCTAACTCTGTTCTTCCCCAGTTGGCCGCTCCGCGCCTACTGGGTGGTGTCGTTTCCCCACAACAAATTAGACTGGATTGAAAGCGGGATGTCGGTTCGATGAACCTTGACGCGCCTTGCGCAGGGGGTAACCAATCCGAAGGTGACGGGTGTTCGAACGCTGCTCGGCAGTTTGGTAATCTGCCTCATCGTTCTCAGTATAGCTGAGATACACGGCTCAGGCCCGCAACCAAGTCGTGCGACTTGAAGTTAATGACTGGTGCACACGGAAGACTTCCGTTCTGTCCACGCCTGTGCGGAGGCCCTCCATAATGACGGTCACTGTGACCGCCTCCGGAAGAGAGTCGGCTGCCATACCGGCAATGAAAGTACGCAACTCTTGGACAAAGTCCACCAATTCCTTCTTGTCCTATCGGGCGGTAAGGAAACGCAATCGGACTTGATATGCCTGGTGGGGCGGCGAGAACACTTATGAAGGCTACAGCTTCAGTTCCGTCCCAGTGGGGACGACGTTTTGATCGAAATGCCGCACATCAGTGCCCAATTTCGCGCTCGATTACCGAGCTTGAAGATAGCTGGCGCCATGCGCTGTTGCTCGGTCTAGAGCATGGCGGACGCCATGGACATCCCAGCCTGTCTCACTGAGCAGGATATTCTCTTCATCCTCCACTCGAGGGTAACACTCACCATCAGCGGCTTGGGTCGGGGTAATCATCCGTTGCCGACGATGTTGTTGTGGACGCAGTCGATGCTGACATCTTCTGCTGTAGGTGCTATAACAAAGATTTTTCATAGTTTGAAAACGCTTCTAGACACGCGCTGATCGCTTCAGGTCCTTGCGAAGCGAGGCTCAGGGCCAAGCAGAGACATCAGCTTTTTAAGGCCGCCACTCTTTATGAGTACTGCCTGCGTTCGGAGTAGCAGTGGTCGTATAACTTCGAGCTTGAGAAATGCTACTGGCATCCAGTAAAAGCACCAGTAAAAATGTATTCAATTCACGCAGAAGCGCTGAAGATGCGTCGACGTTTCCGTCTATAACTTATAAACTAGCTTATCTAAACAAATCGTCCAGCAAAAGCGTCGTCTAGTAATTTATTTTGCTAGGTATGAACGCGAAGTGGTCGTCGAGACGGAAACTCATCGCTTTGTGTCTTATCTGATGACAACTCTACTTACATCAATAAAATAGCTGTTACAGCTACCAATCAAATCACTTTAGTCTTTGTTGGGCCTTCCTGCCCAATATTTAAACGGAATAAAATGAGGCAACCCGCTGTCCATTGAAAAATGTCGGCGGAGGCTGATCCTCGCGCGGTGGCTCTTTTGCACTGATGATGACACGTCAATTTCTACCAGAGGTTCGACATGTGGTTGATACTGCGATGAATCACGTTCCCGATGCGCTTTCTAAACCACACCAATGTAAGGAGTGGCTTATATCACCCGATTTGGCTCAGCGCCGTATCGCTATCGCTTCTTTAAGGGCAAGGTTAGCTCAACTCCTCGGGATGGTGAAGACGTTAAACATATTAGGGGTGAGTATACAAGATTACAGTAAACTTCCCGTTAATTTTTGTGGGCTATGAATGAAGATGGCAACAATTCACGCATTTGAATAAGGTTCTGCTGCTATCTCGGTGGTAGGAGTTCATATACTTCGCTAACTGTCACCTCTTGACGAGTGCACAACAACATGAAGAGATATCACTTCGCCTGATACGGCGATGCGAGCTCCCGTTATAAACGTCATTTCGAATCTTTCCGGATTAGAAAAGTCTCTTCGACGGAGGTATTACAAGCAAGTGTCAATTTCTGCGCCCGAACTCCTAGCTTGATGAGCGCAGGTGCAATGCGCTATGCTTCGGAATGCATCAAGACGAACGATCACCGGTTTCAGCCCTTGAGCATCAATTGCCTGTATTTCTTTGAATTCAACGATAGACACAAACTTGAAAAAATTGTCATTTACAGATGATCGAGCAACTAGTTTTCGCCCTCACAGCAAATACACTCATTTAAAAATTGATGTAACATTGACAACAGGATTATACATAAGAGCGAAATCTAGAGTCTTTCGAGTAGATGTACTTCTTTGCTCTTTCTTTATTGTCCAATTAATCTCATCATAAATGCATACGCAATAATAAGTCTAAATGTACTGCATAAGCGAGGCAAGAAATTACGTGTGCTACGGAGGTGTAGCATCGATATCATCGATACAAGTACTTGTAAATTATAAATAGCGCAATGTATAAGTTGGTACGCTTCTCGTCACACAATCTGAGATAGCGCTTCGAAATAATATGCGGGTGACTGACTGCAGCCAAAGTGCAAACGCAAACTTGAGGGCTTTCGCACACAAGTATCTGGCGCATGATGTAACGCGGTTACACATACCCTGGTTACAGGTGTGTGTGTCACACTAGATGGGCATAGTGTGACCACACTCAAACAAGAATACTGTCCGGGGCTGGATAGCCAGTAGTTATACATGTATTCAGATTTTACTATACATATTTAGGAAAATTTATGCATTTAAAATTAGGCGGCTTTGCAGCAGATAAAAAAATTTAAGTCAGTTTTGAGTTTAAACCGAAGAGTCTATTAGCCTACTTGGGTTAAGGTTACATTTACTCTTGGAGTAAGCGGATTGCGATCCGCTAGACTCGTACTTGTTCCAAGTATAGAACGAAAGGTCGGTGACCTAACTTATGCTTCCTCAAAGCGCAAAGCTACGGCAGCCCCGCTGCACTTGGTAGCACTTGTAGTCAATTGACATCTGAGTCGTCTAGACTGATCCTCTGTGAGGATGGAACAATTTACCTCTTTGCCCCAGGGCATGCAAGATGGGCTTAAAAAGCTGATGTCCTTGCTTGGCCCTGAGGGCGTGCAACACCTTGCTGCGCAAGGCCCCG